CTCAAATGATGTTTATCAGGAGCTCTGAATGGTATGGGGAAAGCCCATCAACACATGAAGTCCAAGAAAATCCAGAAAACAAATGTGTATATGATACAGACAAATGGAGGTCTCTGGGCTGTAGAATGACAGCTGACAAATTCTTTACGCCTTTCAGGAATTTTTAAGTCTTCACAAAGGCTATGTATTCCTCTTGTAAACCCTTCACCCTGAAATAAGTGGCTCTATCTCCTTCTGAAAAGGTTGGTGTTCCTCACTCGCCATTGTCTTCCCTCAGGAATCCCTAGAAGGTCCACTGGACCACAGCAGTACCAGTACCAGGACCCCAAACAAGCCGCCTCCTCCACTTCAGGCTGGGTGCTCTGGGGCCGTCGGCGCTGCCTCAGACTCGGGCCCCAATGCAGCGAAGGTGGGGCTTTCTAGCGCTTGGATGGTCCTCAGGGCACCCGCCCACCACCTGCCTACAACCCAGACTCCAGCTCCCTTCTTGCATCACAATCAGAACCCTGGGTGCTCCTAGGTTCTGGAATACCCAAGGATGTCCCAGAAGGAAGTGGCTGCAACAGGGCAGGCTGGGGTGGCAGGGGCGGGGGGGGGGTGGCTGGAGAAAGGGGCTGTCAAATAGCAGCCCTTTGGCCAGAGAGATGCCAGACACTAAGTTATCATCTCCCAGTTTGTCGCAGGCAGTGAGCAGCAATAGACAGACATGGCAGGGAGCCCTGGCCAACGCTCCAGACGTAAACCGCCCCATGGAGCTGTGCCCCGGGGCCAGCTCCATTTGTGGCTGGGAAATAAGTAAGTGGGCTTCCTTAGAGTGGGACGCCCTGCCATCCACCCTGAGGGATCTGCTTCGGAAAGACTTTGAGGGAAGGTGCCTGTTTTCTCCTGAACTTGGAAGGGAGAAGAGGCAAACTGCTCAGAGCTAGGGAAACGGGCAAGAAGGCAGAGGCCAATGGAGGCACTAGGAGGGTGTGTGAAGGTGAAGGAGAGACCAGGGGGCTCGGAGGAGTGAACAGGAGCTGAACACAAATCTGACCAGAGAGGGGAGACCAGCAGAGAAGACCCGCTCAGGAGCCCCTGGCTGTGCCCCTGTAGGGGCCCCCTTCGTGGCCTCCCCAAGGCTCCGAGTCAGCCATGGCTGTTTGCATCTGTAAGTCCACGGCAGGCAGGATGGGCTTCATCTCACCGTGCCCAGCACAGGACGTGAGGTAACGGCAAATGGCATCATGGACATTTCTTAGTACAAAGCGCCAGAAGAAAGCAGAAAGCCTGCCCAGGCCACTGCGATGGTCTCCAGGACAGCATGATGTCAATCCAGGGCTGAGGGGACCAGGTGGGGCTTCTACAACCCAGAGAAACTGAGTCACGGGCCTGCTGGAGGGGCCTCAGCCCTGTGCTGCTGAGGGGAGCGGGATCGGGGGCCTGCCTCTGGGGCGACCCAAACCCCCGTTTGCATTTTCGGATAGAAGCAGGCTCAGCAGAGGGTGAGGCTGCCCTGCTTAGGTATGTGTTTTCTCAGCTGTCTGCTCTTCAGGTGGGGCTGGTGGCCTCTTATCACCGCAGACAACCCGATGATTACTGCCCTCCCAATGATTACTGCCCTCCCGCCTGCCAAGCCTGACCAACAGGACAGTCTGAGGAAAAGAGGGCTCTCCCAGAGGTGTGACCAAAGCCTTACTGAGCTGGGGCCTTGGGTCCAGAGCCTCACAGAAACACCAGAGATCAGAAAGGTGACCCAGGGAGCACCCCCTGCAGAACCACACTCCTCATCATGCCCCCAATGCACTCTCCCTCCTGGGCCCTGCTCCTGACTCCTTCCTTGTCCAGAGACCAGGCCTGTCTGGCCCCATCCACCCCACAGTGCCTCCACAGCTAAATTTTCACGTTTGAGTCTTTCTGCCACTAGGGGGCAGCAAGACCTATTGAGAACATG